TTAGAAAGTTCAGCCCTCAGTTATGTCAGGGAAAACAAGCCCAGCTTCTGGCTGCAGCTGCCCAGCTCTGCCCAATGAAATTTAAACTATAAACCCACTCCCATGTCTGGTGCCCCAGATAGCCCTTGGTATAGGTCCTACACTGTCTTGCAGCACTTTATCCCTTTAGAAGCCTGTAAGTGCGGGAGACATGCTTTGTCACATGGGCTGCTATTGTGATCTCTCCCTCAGAACCCTTGCTGCTGTGACTGCTCACTGAAAACTGTCTCAGGGTCCTACAGCCTACAGAATCGCCGGCTTTGATCTAACTGTTCTATCTGGTGTCTGCGAGGGAAATCCTGCTTTCCTTGAGCTTTCTCCATTCCAGAACTGTACGTTTTGGCTCATGGCTTCTTTCCTCCATCTTCAAGGCATGTCTTTGATAACTCCTTGATATCCCACTAAGAGCATTCTTTTGCAGGTTAAGGATTTCTGTGGTTTTACTGGATCTGTCTGTAAAATATACGGTAATCTCATCTCAAAGTTCATATGATCACATCTGCCTGGACCTCTTGCTATAAACTGTGCCAAGTTCACAAATGCTGGGAATCAGGATATGCAGGAGATGGGGTAGCATATGCACATCACAGAGATCATGTGCCTTTAGTTGGAGCCCTCTTTGTATGTCAGGGACCAAGCAGCACCCTTTTAGGTACGTGGATTTCTAGGCTGGCCATGCCAAATGGGTTTTAGCTTACATACCATTTGTAATACAGAAATAGCATATCAGTTACTCTATGATATATAAATATTTTGGAAACCTGAATTTACACATACATATATGTTCTATTCAATCAAAAGTTAGCATCCACATATAAGAGAACAAGTGCAATGTTTGTCTTTCAGTATCTAGGTCACCTAACTCTGAATGATTGTTTCAGGCTCTGTTCATTTACCTTCAAGTTTCATGCTTCTTAGTGGGATGATGTCCCACTGTGCAAATGTACCACATTTCATTGTCTACCCCTCAGTTAACAGGCATGGATGCTGATTCCAGTCTCTGCCAGTAGTGATTATGGATGATCAAGTATCAGGTCCCATACACAGGAGCAGCTGACCAACACAAATCAGATTCTATTGGTTTTATTGTGACTTAAATTATTTTGTTCGGTGTTTTTCTAAGCAAGAAAGAACTTGAAGTTGGAAGGGAAAGGATAGGGAGGATCATGAGACGTTAGAAGGAGGGAAAAGAATATGATCAAAATATGTTGTATGAAATTCTCACACAATACATATTTTTGAAAGATTATATTCTGGTATAGAATGGCAAGGAGGTAAGTAAATGACTGAGATCGTTCACTGTGGTAGCATAGTACCAGGATTAGGCAGAAGCCACCGAAGGCTACTTGACTCTGAATGACCACTACCAAAGCTGATGGCTAGCATCTCACTTTTCTTGGACATCTCCCTCTCAGAAGCATCCTTACTTCTCTGAGGCTGAGGCACTCTCTCAAGAACTTGCTCCCTCATTCAGAGGCATTTATCTCATATTGCTGAAGCAAAAAACCAGCTGGGTTACGTACATTGGCCAGATGCCCTCTGAGAATTTGCTTCTGATTCCAAATCATACCTGGCTGTCACCTTTAGCACCTTTGGACCAAATGCCTGAGCAAGCTAGAAAAGGAAGTTAAAAATTCTATGTGAGGAAGATAAAGGAGGTTCGAGAAAGAGGTGAGCTTGCTATCCAGAATAAGCCCGGCCTTCCGGTAGCCAGAACACAGGAAGGAAACGTCAAACCCAAATTACCCACAGATTGGGCTATTTAGCCTTTTGTTTCCTCCAAATGCAAAGCAGTATTTATTTGTTGGTCACAGAGTTCCCAGCACTTGCTAGTTATTGGGGCTATTAATACTGGGTGTTTCCATGGGTCTTGTTGGGTGAGAGAGTTTATATGCATAAGAAGTCACACTGCATTTGTCTGCTTTGGGCACATCATAATTTGTGTAAAACCAGCTCACATTTGCTAAATGCTTAACGTTCCAGAAGCTGCTTTAAGACAGGTGCTGCATCTGGTCCCCAGCAACTTAGAGGTCAGAGGAGATATGAAGTCAGAGAGAGATTAATCATCTTCTCATCTCTCCTGGTCACAGATGAGGCAGAATAGAAAAACAGCAGATCATGGTGCCATGGGGACAAAAGGCTGGGGACATGAGGAGGCTGTGACCCTGGGATCCCATCTGCTTTTGATGCTCAGAAAGGCAGGAGACCAGGCTTCAGAGGCCGCTGATAGGGGGGTCATAAGGTCCACCAAGATATGTGTGTTTCCCAAAAGGTATAGAGTAACAAAAGCTATAAATAAAGCATGCTCACTTAGGGCCAGGCGATATGTTCTTTAAGAGGGTGTAGGGGCAGTGATTAGGTTGTGTTAAAATGGGCTAAAATGACGTATCATTGTGTATTAGTCAGAGTTCTCTAGAACTTATATAATTTATTAGAATGACTTACAGGCTGTGAAAGTCCAAGAACCCATAGTTGTTCGGTTCACAAGGCTGGGTGTCTCAGCTGGTTTTTTGTCTACACTGGAATCCCAAAGAAGTAGGCTCTAATGCTAGTGAAGGAATAGACTTGCCAGCAAGGTGAGAGCAAGCAGACAAAGAGTGAAAACTTCCTTCTTCCATGCCCTTATCTAGGCTTCCAGAAGAACGTGCAGCCCAGATTTGAGATTTCCCAGCTCAAAAGATCTGAATTAAAGGTGTGTCTTCTACCTCAAAGACCAGATTAAAAGTGGATCTTCGTACTTCAGATATAACTAAGATCCCTCACAATTGCGCCCCCTGCTTTTGAGTTTTGGTTAATTCCAGATGCAGTCAAGTTGACAACCAAGAACAGCCATCACAAATGGTATGCTCCAAGCTCTCTCCTCTCTTGGACTTAGACGTTTCCCATCATAAATATACAACTCTGATTACTGATTGTGATGGTTTAAATGTAATCCGCCCCCACAGGCTCACAGGGAGTGGCACTATTAGGAGATATGGCCTTGTTGGAGTAGGAGTGGCCTTCTTGGAGGAAGTTTGTCACTGGAGGTGTGACTTGAGGTTTCAGATGTTTACCCCAGGCCCGGTGTCTCTCTCTCTTCCTGCTGCCTGTGGATCCCGATGTAGAACTCTCAATGGCTCCTTCTTCAGCACCTTATCTCCTTGTGTCCCACCATGCTTCCCTCCACGAAGATAATGAACTAAGCCTCTATGCTTGTAAGCCAGACTCAGTTAGATGCTTTCCTTTGTAAGAGCTGCAATAGTCATGGTACCTCTTCACAGCTACAGAAATCCTAGCTAAGATACTGATTAAAAAAATAATTCAACTTTTTAAGACAGGGTTTCTCTGTATTGTTTTGGAGGCTGTCAGTCCAGCCCGGCCTCGAACTCACAGAGATTTGCCTGCCTCTGCCTTCCGAGTGCTGGGATTAAAGGTGTGTGCCACCACCGCCCAGCTCAACTTTTAGCCCTGTTACTAATTAAGTCTTTGGACAACGTTAGACAAGGAGTGGTTTCTTAGCAAGCTTTCTAGACGTAACTCGCAAGCCACCCAAACCTACATATAACTATTGTAAAGAAACCTAGTTGCAGCTCTCCCTTAGAGAAGCCTGACATGTCCTATTCGGTGTGCTTGACTCTCTCCTGGAACACCTTTCTTTCTTCAGTCAGCCTGAGTTTGCGTCACATGTGACTCACCCTGAAATCTACTGTCTAAGCCATGCATAGGTTCCATTTCATCTGGTTGAAGGTTTTTGAAAAGAACTCTTCAGGAAGTTGCCAGTGTGGTCTGTATCTGTATCCCCACTGCTGATGACACAAGGACCAGTCAAACATAGGTTAGTTTTCTTAGCTTCCAAATCAAGTCTCTTTCTGGTTCAATGTGTAGGGGGAGAAATTTCAGTCACTGCACAGTCTGAGCAGAGTTTCAGTGACTCTAGAGCTGTCAGAGCTGTAACACTAGTTTTCACTTATGATATATATTTAGCAGCAATTGACTATAATTTGGTGGGGTGGGGAGAAGAAACAAAAGGAAAAGAAGATGGCATTTTATGCAATGTTATACAAAAATATAATGAGAACTTGAAAATGAATATTATATAAAGAACCAAGAAAGGCTCAGAAAAAAGTCGCAAATCGCCTTGGTGCACATGGTTGCTTCGGCATGGTGAGATAAAGGAATCAAACACGCACACTCAAAGGTGACTTTGAAGCTTCGGATCCCAGTGTGCAGAGCTGTTCCCTATAATGAATTTTATGAAAGCGTGTGCTGTGCTTTGCAATGTGACTATGTAGACATCAGAGCCGTACCCCTTACTTCGGATGTGTCTATCTTCCTTATCTGACTCTAACGGCAGGGTCTACACAGACCATTTTATTAGAAAAATGGTTAATTACTTTGGGGACTAGGTCAGGCTCATACTGATTCTCTCCCTTGGTTCTAAGATGGAATCACGTTGAGCATTTTTGACGTTTCAAAGGCTAGTGTAGAAGCATGCACTAACTCTATCTGTCCCTGTTTTTACTTAATCAGTTTTTGATAAACGCCATTTCTCTTTCAGGTCACATTTCTGCAACCACTTTAAATATCGATGAAGGGCTCCACAAACACAGATTCCTCAACTCCTCTCAGAGGGTTTTTTTTATTTTATTTTATTTATTTTTTATTGGTTCTCCGAGACACAGTTTCTCTGTGACTTTGGAGGCTGTCCTGGAACTAGCTTTTGTAGACCAGGCTGGTCTCGAACTCACAGAGATCCACCTGCCTCTGCCTCCCGAGTGCTGGGATTAAAGGCCTTAGTCACCAATGCCCAGCTCCTCTAAGAGTTTTTCTCATGACACATATGGCAAGTGTGACTCCTGTGTTCAGTTAAGTGGGTGAAGAGTGTCTGTTCTTCTACATTAGTCTGGGAGGAATAACGTCTAGCTCACATTAAGACTCCTGAAGACTGTCCACTGCTTCAGTCTTAGCTCATGCAAGCAGCATTGAACAACTCTTTGGGCCTTTATTCACCAAACTGAATGCTTTTCATTAGGAATTCTACTCAAGGAGAAAGTCTGAGAAAATCATGTAGCAATCATCTTCCCCTTAACCTAAAAATAAAATACGAATGTGAATACGTTCACAGCATTTCATGTCCCCACCTCCTCCTTAACACCCAGAGACATGGCTGAACCCAGAAGAGGTGCTGTGAACCCTTCATGGGCCCAACATCAGGAGTCTGTGCAATAACTTCGAGATCCTTCACTGATTAGCTGCGTCTTCTCATTTGCATTTGTAGGCTGGAGAACAACCGGAAAGTCCATATCTGGTAGAGAGGGGACACAAAGAAGCATTAATCAGACCTTTTTTTTTTTTAACCAAATTCCTTTGATAATGGGACAATAGGCAGTCGTTTTGTTGAAATAAGCAAATCAACTCACAAGACATTGCCTGAATTCTTCAAATTTTGCTAATTGCAGGATGATAACTAAACCCAGGTTGGACATTGCACATTCCAGGTTCCATTTTTCATGAAAGCTACAGCATGTATGAAAAATGTCATTTATATGGAGGATGAGCTCTAGAGTCTTGTAGTCCACAACTGAATGCATGGCTTTTGTTGGGACTTGACTTAGTGCTCAGAGCTTGCTTTGCTGGAGAACCCAAGAGAAAGTTTAACACATAAAGCTAGTGTCCAGAGTAGCCACACTTGCTCTTAAGTCTACATGAAGTTCTGTTCTAGTGCTCAGCTGAAGAAGTTTCCTTAAAAACGCTTGATGACAAACTAACAAGCTCACAAGTTGGCAGCCCATGTCTTTTCAATATCCAAGTCTTCTAAAAGAAGACACCCAGAAAATCATTCAGCACAAAACTGTTGGGCTCTCGGGGACCTAGCAGAAATGAATGACTTCACACTCCACCTAGCACTAAAAAGTCCCTATAAGATTACAAGGAACTTGAGCTTATAGTCAACATGCATGCACGCGCTCGGGCACACACACGCACACACACACACACACACACACACACACTCACACACACAAATCATGCTCACAGAAAAAGAAAGAAACATAGAAACAATGTTCATGGACTGAAAGCTGATAGTAACAACAAAAGATGAAATAGGACCCAGAGAGACTTCAATATTTGCATTTATCAAACAGAATGTAAAAGAATAGTGTATTTAAAGTTATCAGACTTTGAAGTCAATAAGAAGCTAGTGATTAAAGTACCTGAAATTACATTTTAAATAACTAAAGAGCTTTAAAAAGCTAGAAAGGGAATTAATGAAGTGGAAGACCTATCCAAAGAGATTATTCAGAACATTACCCAGACACAAAAAGAAAATGTGATAATGGCTTAAAAACTATGAAGGATAGTGTGAAGACAATATGCCTTTAAGGATGAAATTACAAAAGCTGGAAAGTAATATTTGAATTCACAGGCCCAAGAGGCAACTGGATTCTCCTACAAAGTCATGTCTCTTTCTTTTGCTTGCTTCTTTCTCTCCTTGGCTGTGGTGTGTTGGTGTGTGGGACAAGCATACAAGCATGTGTATGTGGAGGCCAGAAGGCAACCCTAAGTGTTGTTCCTCAGCAGCCATTTACCTGGGCCAGTCTTTGGCTCCCACATAGACATGTACTGAACCTTTACCACACATACACATACCACACGTGCATACAAATGTTCAACCTTACTAGTAAACAAAGAGACAAAAATTAAAGCCATGGCACTATGCCATATCCCACACACTAGATTGTCACATATTTCCAGTCTGGCAATGTCAAGTGTTGGCAAGGATGTGAAGCAACAGAAACTCACATGAGCTCTTGGTGGGGATGTAAATTTTTTTCATTTTTCTTTTTTCTTTTTATTTATTCTCTCACAAAAATACATCCTGATCACAGGCTTCTCTCCCTTCAGTCCCCCCTTCATTCCCTTCCCTGTCTCCCAGATCCACTGCTCTTCCACTTCCCTTCAAGAAAAAACAAAGCAAAATAAGAAAACAGGCCTCCTAATGACATCAGCTGGACATGGCATAACAAGATGCAGTAAAACTAGGCACAAACCCTCATATCAAGGCTGGACATGGCAACCCAGTAGGAGGAAAAGGGTTCCAAGAGCAAGCAAAAGAGTCACAGACACACCCCACTCCCACTGTAAGGAGTCCCACAGAAATTCCAAGCTAAAGAACCACAGCATATATGCAAAGGACCTAATACAGACCCATGCAGGCTCCATGGGTGCCACTTCAGGTGGGGATTTAAATTAACTCCTCGGTTTTGCAGGACTTCTTGATGCTACTTAATATATTGTAGGTGCACATACCATGTGTCTAAGGAATTCCAGTGCTGTGTGTAAACACAAATGCCCCTTAGCACTCATGCATTAAGACGTAAGTACAAGATCATTCCTACCAGCTGCATGTAATGGCAAATAAGGTGGGGTTTACTCACGTTCATCACCAGTAAAATGAATACTAAATTAGGGATTCTTTCTCGGAATATTATAACAGTGAGAATAAATAGACAAAATACAGACAAAATAGTACCAGTGGTTTAGACAGTGGATTTCAGGGTGAGCCAAATGTGAGGGAAAGTCAGACTGATTAGAAGCAGGAAGGTGTTCTGGGAGAGAGGCAAGCACATCAGCAAAGTGAATCTCAGTCATGTAATGTTGAGGAGAGCAAAGCAAGTTACAGGAAGTGTTACTGTACAAAAGGGCCATTCATTCAAAGTCCAGAGATGTGCAAAACCAAACGCTCTGCTGATTAGGGATAGGAATATAGTGGGGATATAAATAAAGTAATAGTAGGAAACTCAAGGGGGTTCCTTCTAAGAAGGGAAGAGGGAATGCCACAGAGGAGGGTGACATTACTTTCTCTGATGGGAAAAGTTAGGTCTCAATATTTGCTTGTATCTGTTTAATAAAGAAATAACGACAAGCTCTGAGAAGTGAATTAAATAAAACACCTCAGCCGTCTTTCAGAGAACTGGGACTGACACACCCCTCTGCCTCAGCAGCTGGCAGTGTGAGGCTCTCAATTAGGCAACAAAGTGCTGGGGTAACTTTCCCACTTCCCATGCTTAATGAATATCTTGTTCTACTCAGGCCTGTTTCCTCCATCCCCACCCCGACCCCTTACTTCCAGTCACACACAATTCACCACCTTTGTGTAGCTGCCAAATGTCTCCCTGGACCAAAATGGGGCTGCCCTTTGCTCTCCCTTTTCCCTAGGTCCGGGCAACCACCAACCTGTTTTCTCCTCCACAAATGGCCCTGAATGTTTTTTTATCTGACTGAAAGCACAGCACACTTGTCTTTTGTACCTAGATTCTTTCACTTAGCATCACACCCCCAAGTCTGTCTCTTTACAGAGTGTTCCAGAACTTCCCCGAGTCTCCATGGTTCTCTCTAGACTCCTTTTCCTCTCTCCTAGCTGCCCCTACTGATTTTGAAGCATTGAACCCTTCCTTGTGTAAACACATCTTAGTTCCGGGCTCATTGCAAATAGCACCTTCATGAAGGAAGCTGTTACACTAATTCAGTGATAGAACTGTCTGGTGGAGCCCCCTAATACGCTCCAGCTGTCTTGCCTAGTGTATACAATACCATTCACTATCTTATCTGCAGGATTTAGGGAGGAACTGTACCAAATAATTCTTGGGTCAAGATTTGTTTCTTCAAAGGCTTCCCATCTCCATGGTCCCCTGCAACTTGATCTTTCTGCTTTAAATGCCACTTTTCTGGAAAGCTGTATTAGCCTGAATTTAGGTCAAGCTATTTATTGTTCACTTTGACAGGCCCCATGTTTCTCTTCTGGTAGATTTATTGTGCAAATTGGCTAGCTCTCTGTGTTTCTATATTTAATATTTGCCTCTAAATCTTATTAGCTAGATTGTAATCCTCAAGATTCCAGGGACCAGGTCTGCTAACACACTGTCAACAGTTACTAAGTGCTCAATAAATATTTGATATGGAAAGATGATCTCAGTCAACACACACACACACACACACACACACACACACACACACACACTTCTTACGAGTTATCTTGGCAGTGAAGCATCGAAGGTGCACTTTGTGCTGCCTTGTTGGGGACAGTTCTAGGCTGGCTCACCCATCCTACTGCCCTGGCCTGGTGCCTTAACGCTCGATGATGTCTTTATATGAAGTATCACAGATTCCTAACGTTACTTTCTTTGCACTCTTCTTAGACACTGCTTCCTCATTGCAGGGAAAAGGAGACTAAATATGGAGCCCGAAAAGAGAGAGGAAGAATTTCCTTTTCCCTCAGTGCCCTTTCCCTGGACAGGCAGATGTAATGAATGCTGAACGGTGTTGGATGTGTAATGCATGTCTCTCTATATCTTGGCTGAGAACAAGAACCATATGGCTGCTTCTGCTCAGTGGTTGTGAATTTATTTGAGTTCTATCCAGGTGGAGGGAAATAACAACTAAGCAATCACCATTTTTTCTGGGCTCTGAATCATACTCCTTTAGATCCAAGGTCAGTACTATACACTCTCCTCTCCTTTAGGGATTCTGCTCTACCTCTTTCCATAGAAAGGAAACCACAAGGAATCGTTAGTATTTGCCTGAACAGTTTTCGTTGGATTTAATTCTATTGGCTTTGGCATAAAAGAAAAAAACTGAATTTAGTCCTTATCTTTTTGATTACTGGCTGCAATTTAGGCTTTTGTTACTTTTATTCCTTGTTAAGCACAAACAGGGAGGAGGAGGGGAGAGAGTGAGAGAAATAACATAGCAGAATATGATTCTATCATAGCTGATAGAATTCAGATTTCCTTGTGACCTTCAGATGTCAAAGGGGTGCAGGGTCCAAACAACCTGTTTTAATCACGCCTCTCAACATTCCACACAGTGGAGTTTCTAAATGTGAGAGCAAGGCAATATCCTTTCACTGTTTAGGTTTTAATTCAAAGACTGAAAATTACCCAGGGTAAGTTCTTTTGATATCGACTGGTTTCCAAAAGCATTACAGTCCTTCTAGGTTCGCACTGGGAGGGTATTTTGAGAATCAGGAGACCCCATTTGTGAGCTCTCCAGCTGGCAGCAAATACTGAATGATGGCAATGTTTGAACTGTCTGCTCTTCATTTTTTAACCATAGAGGCTGGGTAACATTCTTCAACACCATCTAAAGAAACAGAGCAACTCAAACAGCTCTCTGTCTTCTGCCAGCAAAGCCACCCAGCGCCCACCACACGGAAGCAGAGACTAGTACACATTTACAATTACAAAGATATCTAACAGTTCAACAGCAGCAACAGCAGCAGCAAACGGCAGGTGTGGCTGAAACACA